ATTCATACTGATATCATGATTGTTAACAACATTAAAGACAAATAAATGATACAAAAGAAATTTCAAAAAATCTAGAAAAAAGAATAAACAGGTGAGATGGGTCCCTTCTCTTTTATGTAGGCTAGAATGGTCATAAATCATGTTGCTTTGTTAACCTTTCAAAACATAAATTAACCAAGTAAAGTGGCTATCATCTCACACAAGGCATGATTAAGCTAATTTACTTTTATATCAGAGCAGCTACCACCAAGGCAAAACTTATTTTTTAAGGTCTAATAGATGGTGAAAAGGGAAAGGAAAAATGTAAAATCAAGAAAGTGAATCTTATTAGAGTATGATAATTACATACACTTACAATATCCAAACACTTGTAATGTTCATGGCCAACCTTTCCTTCCAGGCCTCACTTGGCATTGCCAACCTGATTGTCATGGCCATGGTGGAGGAAGGTGTTGAGGAGGAGGAAGCCCGTTCTAAGATTTGGCTGGTTGACTCCCGTGGCCTGATCGTGAAGGACCGTCCAAAGGGTGGAATTACAGGACATAAGGAAGTGTTTGCCCATGAACATGAACCTATGGATGAGCTGGAAGAAATTGTGAGAGAGCTTCAACCAACTACTCTCATTGGTAAGCTCAGTGTCATTTTGTTTTTTTGGTGATCTTGTCTTGTGTATCTAGTTCCTTTCTTATCTTATTTTGTTGTTATTGGTGTGTTTATCTACTCTACTTATAGATATTTCACATTAGAAACATTTAAATCAGTTTAATATCAGAATAAAAAAATATGCCATATATCATCTCACCAGATTTATTTGAGTTCAGTTGAGTTAATGAATGAAACATTGTCAAGGTGTGTACATATTTATATTCTGATTGTCTAATTTCAAGGTGCTGCTGCCATTGGAGGAGTATTCACCCCACAGCTTCTTCAGGATATGGCTTCCTTCAACGAACGACCTGTTATCTTTGCTCTTAGTAACCCAACAAGCAAGGTAAGTCTGAATTTTCAAAATTTTCAAAAGATTAAGGTTTATGGAAAGTTGGTTTGGTGTACATTTTTTTTTATTGTAAAGGGCTTAGAAGGTAGATTTTAAAGACAACTTATTTTCCTACACAAACTCCTGTGTTGCTATTATGCACTTGTCTTACACATCTCTTTCACTGGGCTTTCTAATTCCAGGCTGAATGCACTGCAGAGGACTGTTACCAACATACTGAAGGCCGAGGTGTGTTTGCATCAGGCTCTCCCTTCGACCCCGTGACTTATGAAGGCAGGACTTTCCACCCAGGCCAAGGCAACAATGCATACATCTTCCCAGGTGTTGCTCTGGGTGTGATCTGCACTGGAATTCACCACATTGATGATGGAATTTTCCTCATGGCAGCAAAGGTTTGTGGTCTCGTTTTTAAACTTTGTTTGAAGGAGTAATTGAAGTTGGTAGGCATGGCTCACTGCCCCATGTGTTTATTCATTTTTATTTTTATTTTGTTGTTAGTTATTTAGTGTGATGATTTATGATGTAGATATTTATTTATTAGGCTGAAAGAAATGCAAGAGAGACCCAAAGAAATAAAGGTTTGTTTTCCATATCCTCTTGTTTTCTGAATTTGCAACAGAATCTTTAAGATTATTGTTTTGAACATGGAATGAATAAAAAAGTAACACCATATTTAAATTTGTAGCCTTTAAACTTGAATTCAGCATATCTGGCAAATAAGGGGTATACATTCATAATACACCCTGGGCCTGGGTTTCCTCTCATCAGCAATATATGAGTGGGTATGTGGGTGTAAGTCTGTATTACTGGGTTACCAGGGCAGAGGTATATGTGTGTGTGAAAGTAGGGTTTTACACTGTTGGATATTTAGCATCAGATTATGATGCGAAACATTGTTAATGAACAAAAATGAATGCGGTCTGCAAGAACACATTTACAGCATATAGGGACTTCTTGTGAATTAATGACTTTGTAAAGAATATTCCTAAAACCCTGCTTAATCTTACAGGCTCTGGCTGATATGGTAACTGAAGAGAATCTTGAGCAGGGCCGCTTGTATCCTCCTCTTACAGACATTCAGTCTTGTTCACTGAAGATTGCTACCTACATTGCTGAACATGCATACAAGACAGGTATGTTTGGATTTTTTTGGAAAATGGCCAGAGTTAGCTCAAAATTCTGGTAGAATTATAGATTCCTTGTTTCTGTTAATGGTTAGAATTCATCAAATCATGTATATAGTCCATAGATTGTATTCTTGTACGAATTCAGAATTGCAAATAAGGGCAGAATTATCTTCATGGTTTGTTTTAGTTCAACTGTCTATAAACATCAAAGATTATTTACTCAGAGTGAGCAGGTTTACTGTTGGTGAAGGTGTTTTTATCAAATAAATTGTTTTCATTTACATAAAGATTTCATTCTTTAAAGGACATGATTAATACAGTTTGAAGTATTTACTACATCTATACATAAAGCTTTGAATATGTATGTGCTTAGCTTCCAGGTGTCCCTGTGAATATATTGTGAATTCAACAAGATATTGCTTTGGACTGATAATGACTGCTGTTTTACATCCAATTTGAATGTTGTCAATATAACTCCATCAGTTTTCCTACACTTTTATGTTTTTTAATTATTGTCACAAGTTTTTAAAGTCCTGCTTTCATCATAGCATGTATTTGACATGCATATACATTCTTGTAATGTAAATTACCGTTTTACTTCCAACCACATCCAGCACCTGCTTTCAAGCACCGCCATTATTTAGGTTCAAAAGCAAGTGAAATGTGGGTCATCAACTCAGTTATTTGTTTATGGTTTGGTTTATTTTGGTGGCCTTCATGGCATCATAGAAAAGAATATTAGTGAGATACAAGATTGAAGAATTCCTTTGACATGAAACTCATTTCATGTCAAACTCATTCCATTGATATTTAGACTAAGAATCATAAATTTTTATATCTATACTTCACAAGAAGACAAAATTGAAATTGATTAATCCAACATGGATTATTCCTCTTTTTTTAAGGAATAACTTATTTGGATTAAACCCATCTGAATTTATGAGGAAATCAAAATTAATTGGCAAAATTTCTAACAACTTGGACCACCCTATTACAGATATAGCATCAGTTTACCCTCAGCCAAAGGACAAAATGGCCTTCATTAGGGCTCAGCAATATGATTTTCACTATGGTTCAGCCCTTCCCAATGTCTACAGTTGGCCCAAGCTTTAGGGCGCATGACCAGTAAGCTATGGCCTTATGCTGCATGTACACTGCAACAGAACTAAAATTGTAGCAGTTTTTCTTTCATGTTTCTTTAATTTTTTAATTGCCTCTTCTTTGATTCCTCTGGCACAACCAACTTAGTTGTATGACTAGAGATCAATGTGCCCATCGCCTCTATCTTCTGTAGATGCCTCTTCTTTGGGACTAAATTCTGGTATCTTGTATCATTCTTAACCCTAATGTGATCTTAGTTTCTTGCTAGAATAACAATACCTGCTTTCTCTCTTGGTAGGACAGTAGATGGTCCCTCAGCTAAAAGCATGATTTTGATTCTGAGTCTCAATATTGTATTATCTTTTTGTGTTGTGGTATTAGCATAATAGATTATTTTATTGCTGTGAATACTATCATTCTCTCTCTCTCTCTCTCTCTCTCTCTCTCTCTCTCTCTCTCTCTCTCTCTCTCTCTCTCTCTCTCTCTCTCTCTCTCTCTCTCTCTCTCTCTCTCTCTCTCTCTCTCTCTCTCTCTCTCTCTCTCTCTCTCTCTCTCTCTCTCTCTCTCTCTCTCTCTCTCTCTCTCTCTCTCTCTCTCTCTCTCTCTCTCTCTCTCTCTCTCTCTCTCTCTCTCTCTCTCTCTCTCTCTCTCTCTCTCTCTCTCTCTCTCTCTCTCTCTCTCTCTCTCTCTCTCTCTCTCTCTCTCTCTCTCTCTCTCTCTCTCTCTCTCTCTCTCTCTCTCTCTCTCTCTCTCTCTCTCTCTCTCTCTCTCTCTCTCTCTCTCTCTCTCTCTCTCTCTCTCTCTCTCTCTCTCTCTCTCTCTCTCTCTCTCTCTCTCTCTCTCTCTCTCTCTCTCTCTCTCTCTCTCTCTCTCTCTCTCTCTCTCTCTCTCTCTCTCTCTCTCTCTCTCTCTCTCTCTCTCTCTCTCTCTCTCTCTCTCTCTCTCTCTCTCTCTCTCTCTCTCTCTCTCTCTCTCTCTCTCTCTCTCTCTCTCTCTCTCTCTCTCTCTCTCTCTCTCTCTCTCTCTCTCTCTCTCTCTCTCTCTCTCTCTCTCTCTCTCTCTCTCTCTCTCTCTCTCTCTCTCTCTCTCTCTCTCTCTCTCTCTCTCTCTCTCTCTCTCTCTCTCTCTCTCTCTCTCTCTCTCTCTCTCTCTCTCTCTCTCTCTCTCTCTCTCTCTCTCTCTCTCTCTCTCTCTCTCTCTCTCTCTCTCTCTCTCTCTCTCTCTCTCTCTCTCTCTCTCTCTCTCTCTCTCTCTCTCTCTCTCTCTCTCTCTCTCTCTCTCTCTCTCTCTCTCTCTCTCTCTCTCTCTCTCTCTCTCTCTCTCTCTCTCTCTCTCTCTCTCTCTCTCTCTCTCTCTCTCTCTCTCTCTCTCTCTCTCTCTCTCTCTCTCTCTCTCTCTCTCTCTCTCTCTCTCTCTCTCTCTCTCTCTCTCTCTCTCTCTCTCTCTCTCTCTCTCTCTCTCTCTCTCTCTCTCTCTCTCTCTCTCTCTCTCTCTCTCTCTCTCTCTCTCTCTCTCTCTCTCTCTCTCTCTCTCTCTCTCTCTCTCTCTCTCTCTCTCTCTCTCTCTCTCTCTCTCTCTCTCTCTCTCTCTCTCTCTCTCTCTCTCTCTCTCTCTCTCTCTCTCTCTCTCTCTCTCTCTCTCTCTCTCTCTCTCTCTCTCTCTCTCTCTCTCTCTCTCTCTCTCTCTCTCTCTCTCTCTCTCTCTCTCTCTCTCTCTCTCTCTCTCTCTCTCTCTCTCTCTCTCTCTCTCTCTCTCTCTCTCTCTCTCTCTCTCTC